GGTGCATAAAGCTCCATGCCACATCTGGAGTTGAGAGTGTTCAAACTACAGCCAACAAACAAATCCCAGGAGGTCACACAAACAGACCAAGATGCTCTGAAATCTGGGGATCTGACATCGGCCCTGTACCATGAAGGACCGTGAGATCTGCCAAGAAACACAACAAAGTCTACATCGGGTCGTTCAACAGACAGAAAAGCAAAAAACTTGAGGCACTCCTCAAAGCTCCTCTTGTTCTCCACGGCATTCTTGAATATGAAGCCGTAGGTGAGTAGATCCCGGGCTGGAACAGCGGATGAGACAAGAGCTAGGGCTGGAAAATAAGAATACAACCACAACTGCAAAACCCAAAGCGGCCCACCACTAATGACTAAGGGGTGAGCCGTGATATCTTGGCAACTCCTGTATAAATGAGCAAGCAAAAAAGGACCCAGAGCCATTTGTTTGCCATGTGCTAAAGCAACGGCTAAGGGAATGAACTCTTTAGTGGGACCTTTACCAGCAAAGCAGACTATATATTTGCAAATCAAAGCAGAAATGAAATATGCTCATCAGCACTGACAGGCTTACTTTTATCATAGGCAGACCTCACGAAAGCTGGATAAGAGGGCTTCAACTCCGCATTGTACTCAACGCTTGGAGGCAGGGTTAACAATGCTGAAATTTCTTCTCCAGTACAGGGCAATCCGGTTAACGAGCTGACATCGAAAAGGCTCACAGACATGGCTCCACAGGGAAAATGGAAACAATTGAAAGAGCCAGACCAAAATAACAAAGCCGCACCCAAGACCGGCTTGTCCATGGTGAATCTGCATTTGGTGAGTTGTATAAATTCAAACAAGCCTGCATCCCTCCAAATTTGACCAAAAGCAGGTTCAGGCGGTTTATCCAATCAGTCCATTCTGATTTTCTCCAAACCGGCCAAGCACCAAATGAGCCAATCCATTTATTCCAGTCAGGTTTTACCTGGAAGGGGAGAAGATGTTCTTTGGGCTGTGGGTAAATGGAGGCAAGAGAGGCCGGCGGATGAGACACAAAATAAGGGCCCAAAATTTGAGATTTTTTGTGCGGAACAAAAGTTTGGTTTGAATGGCATGGCTTTTGTTTTTGGAGTATCCTATTCATATCATCTTGAAGATTTTGGTCTTGGAAGAGTTTAACCAAATCTGGTGGAGGTGATCTCAAGCAATGAATGGCCTTTGGACAGGCCATGGGAGTAGATCCGGTTGGCATGGACTGTTCTTCTCGGTTATGAGCCATGGAGATGATTTTGGCAAGGGAAGGTTGTTCGGCAGTGGGAGCCACTGGACACAAGCCGGACAGACCTGCACACACATAAAAAAAAAGAAAAGAAGAAGAAAGGCAGTCAACCAACAGTCACAAGAGGAGTCTCGGCAGTGGGAGCCACCGGACATGAGCAAGACAGTGTTTTGTGAATAAAGTGTGAAAGAAAAATAGCCAACAGCTACTTGTGAAGCAAGAAGAATCTCCGGGGGGACCACCGAGCAGATCTGGAAAACAAGCAAAGGAAGAGAGCGCAGCCGGCAGTTGATCTGGAAGTTGAAAGAAGTGGGTTGCTGTTTTGGGTAGATCTGGGAAGCATATAAAAAAAAATTGAAGGAGAGGGGCCGGTTGTGACTAGGAGAAGCTTAGATGTTACAAGATGGATAGAAATATGGAAGCTATCTGGTGAATAGGACAAGCAAAGGAAGAGAATGTAGCCGGCGGTGAAGTTGGCCCCTGGAGGTTGAAGAAGGTAAAGTAAAATTAGTTTTAATTTTCAAAGAGTCCCTGCCTTTGGGATTTGTTTTGAAAATTAATAGATTTTACTTAAAATGGAGGAGACTTTTCAATGGGGCCACTGACGTAGAAAAAAAAGGAAAAGAAAAGTAAGTTTGACTTTTCCTTACTTTTTGGGTTTTTTTTTTTTGAAATTAAATGAATTTTGAAAGGAATGGCTGGGGTTTATCTAGAAAATTGTTCCAGGAGATATTTGTGAAGTTGCTTTTAAAGAGGATTTGACATGTGGCATAAGTAATTATGGTGTGGGAGGCAATTTATTTAATTAAAACACTTGGATTTATCTTAATAAAATCAAGTGTTGGGGGCATTGTTTACATCATAAATTGTAAAATTTTAAATTAATGCCACGTGTAAAATTTTTATTGGCTGGAGGAGTTTGAGTCATGTCA